ATGTGTTGGTGTGTGCGCAGGCATGTGTATGTACATATGCAGAGGCCAGAGACTGATGCCAGGCGTCTTCTCCAATCATGTCCCAACTTGTTTTTTTGAGACAGAATCTCTCAGTGTAGCTGGAAATTGCTGATTTGGCTAAGGAGGCTGACTGAACAGCTCCAAGGATCCTCCTGCCTCCGTCTTTCAGTTCTTAACTGCCACCATGCCTGGTTTTCTAAATGAATGCTAGGGATCTGAACTCTGGTCCTCATGCTTGCATGAGGCAACTATGTTACTGACTAACCTTCTCCTCAGTCCTGCAGCTTTTCCTGTTTGCTGTGCAATGGACTTTTTCCTCTGGGCATGACTGACCATCACACGCTGACAGATGCGCACTGTGAATAGACCTTACACATCACTTAGTGTGTGGGTGGCTTCGCCGTATCTCATTCAAACCCCATTTGGATTTCTGACTTCTGGTAGTCTCGTTGTCTTCTGTAGAATCTGAATGTCCCCTATAGGCTCGGGTATTTTGAAAACTTGTCCCCAGTAGGTGGCTCTGTTTGGGGAGCATGGCACAGCCTTGCTGGAGAGAGAAAGTCACTGGGGGCAGGCTCCGAGGTAAAAAACCTGACAGAATTTCCAGTTCTCCTTCTCTGCTTCATGCTTGAGTTTGAAGATGGGGGTTCTAGACCACCTGATCCTGCGCTCACGCCTGCTGCCTGCTGCCACGCTTCCCTGACACGAAGGACTTCCATCCATCTGGAACTGAAAGCCCAGATAAATTCTTCCCCTCTAGAAGTTGCCTGGGTTATTTATGGTGTTTCATCATGGCAAGAGAAAAAGAAACCACTACGCGCTCCATGGCACAAATCCTCCAACAGTTTCTGTCTTTCTGTTCTTTTTCTTTCTTTCTTTTTTTTTGAGGCTGGCTCTCATGTAGCCCAGGTTGCAGTCTGGCTATGCAGCCACGTATGACCTTGAACTACTGCTTCCTCTGCTTCACATTTTTAGTAGTGGGACTACAGGCTTGTGCTACCATGCCTGGTTTTATGTGACACTGGGGGTGGAGCCTAGGGTCTCATGTACACTAGGCAACCAGCTGAGCTGTGTCCGCTGTCCTGTTCCCTTGTTCTTGTTCTCCAAGGGTGTAGCTGTGGCGGAATGGGACAGGCCTGAATGGTGACCAATAACCAGCATAGATTTCCCACCTTTGCAGCCCTTTGTCACCTTTAACCTCCTTTCTACATTGCCACTTGGCATGGCTTCTCACCGTGCTTAGGGGCTGGCATGAGGGGAATGGCGGAAGAAAATGGTACAAGCAAGGGACATGGGGAAGCATGAGATACAGGAGGCTGCTGCCAGCCAGTCACAAAAGCGGTCCCTCACCTATGGAAGAGAACGATAATGCTGCAGGGCTACACCCTATGCATTCACGGATTATGGGAGGCACATGCTGTAAAGCTCTCAGAACAGTGCCAGCCACAGTAGGTTCTCAATAAACGCGAGCCATTGTTATTCTATCATGACTACTCTCTAGTAGGTCGAGTCACACAAAACTGTCATGTTGGAAGTCAGAGTGGTCTAAAACTTCAGGTTTCCACGCAATACTCCTTTCCCATCAGAATTGGTCTGTCTTGTTTATTAAATGAATATATTTCAAAAGGAACTTATTGGTCCCTATAACATATGGGTAACTGGACAGTGCTTGTATGACTCTTTTGGGGGAGACACGAACAAATGTTCTACTCATCCCACAGAGGGAACTGGTGACAGACCAAAGTAACACCACCAAAGTCCAACTTTGTAAGCTGACGAGTTTACTGGGCTTACAGTAGTTTTGGGGAGTTACTTACAGGAACAAGGATGACTCAAAGGCAGCTGCACCACCAAAAGCCAACTCAGCATGAGGGATGACTCATAAAAGATGGAGCTATGATGTTCTCTGCATCATTTGCACACAGTTTGACAGGCAGGGGACTATACTCCTCAGCAACTACTTACTGCTTAGATAACCTTGGGAAAGGAAGAACCTGGCATATCTGGTAGGTTTCAGGGATTTCCTAAGCCTTGGGAGTTGTTTGCTTCCTGAGTTTCAACCAGACTCCTTTTAGAATTTCCTAAGTCTTAAGCTTCCATCTAAGACAGAATGCTGCAACTCAGGAGAAATTGCTACACAACAGTAACCTTTCCTATATTTGGCAGCAGTAGCTATTACAATTACCTCAGGCAAGCTTGTTTGCCTTGGTAAGACCCAATGCCAAGTTTCCCCAGTTCAGACTCTCAGATTGGAAGGGTACCAAAAGCATGCTAGGCCCACTTCTTCCTTTAGGTAATCCAAAAGTTCTTTTAAAAGCCTCTTCAAAATTGGTCCTGGAGATGGGGGTGTAGTTCAGTTGGCAGAATGCTTGAGCTCCATTCATGAACCTGGTACAGCGGCGCACACCAGTAATCCTTGTCCACAGGAGGTGGAGGCAGGAAGCTCAAAACTCATCTTCAGCAATAGTCTAGGCTAGCCTGGGCTAAACAGAGCCTTTTTTTGGGAAATTGTGACTAGAAATCTGAAGGGAGCAGTCCATCGGTCTGTCAACGTCTCTGGAACCTTTTAACTCCTGGAATTGCTGCTCTTGGGGACCTGCTTATTTTTGAGAGCTTCTCAGGAAGGTCACTTTGAAATATGACTGTAATGCCTCATGAGTTTCACAGCTCTAGCCTAGATCCACCCTAGAGGGTCCCTCGTCCTACTGAGCAAGGCAAAAACCATCCATCCCAATCTTATAGCACTTCAGATGTAGAAACTCAGACTCAGAGGAGAGATACTTGTCCAGGGTGACTTAGCATGTGGGGAAGGGGACTCCCCAAATCTGGGTCTTTAACCCTTGCCCATGTTCATCCTGCACTGCCAGCATTTCCTGCAGGACTCCTCGATTCTGCTGCCTCCACCCCTCCCCTGTCAGGCCCAGGGGTACTGAAGGTTTCCTGGAAGGATATCCAACCCTGACCGGCATGGCTTTTGGTGGTCCAGTCTTCTCCCCCATGAGAAAGGTATCTGGCTTTCACCTATCATAATTCCTGGCACTAAAAACTAGATCCTGTACAATCAAACATGGAAGAAGATGTTCATCCCATTTTATTTATTTATTCTGATCAACCACAGTTGAGTTTATTAGTCCAATGGTTCACACAACCAGGTCACTGGGCGCAACAGAAGACAGTCTCTAGGAGGCCCCTACCTTGCCTTCCCTTCTCAGGAACTCCACTCAGGTCATGGACCCCATAAACCTCTGGGTGCATTTATTTAGATTTTTGAACATCTGCACATTTCCCCCCCCGAAAATGATAAAGAGCTGTGTCCTGCCCACTCACAGCCCACCAGGCTCTTTATCATAAATAAATACAATCAGCATCAAATGTTAGTGCTGAGCTATGGCAGGGTGGCCCCTTCAGAGAAGCACTGTGGGGACAACTTCAAGGTGTCTTCTGATAGCGGGCACTGCGCAATGTGTGGCAGTACCCAGGCTGCCTACGTTTGTCCAGGAAGTAGTTCAGCACCGGGATGCCCTCCTTCAGGCTTTTGTGCTTGCCACAACTTGGCTGGGGCAGCTGCTGCCGTTCAAGGGGCCCCCAGGCAGGACCTGCTAATGACTGTACACACACTGGGGGAAGGCCTGGCTACTGGTGTTGGGGCTCAGATCAGATCAGCCTAGTTTTAAAGAAGAAAGTGTTGAGGCCCATCCCTGGATCCCAGACTTTGGGCTCCTGCCCCTCAGCCTTGTTCAGGCTAAACCTACTCCCACCTACCCTGCTCCTTCAACAGCCACAGGGTGAATCTCCATTAACGCCTACCCCACCCGGACTACACTCTCCTAACTGGCCTCCCTGTTCCCGGCATTCTGTTCCCGGCATTCTGTTCCCGGGCAGCCACTACCGCGGCAGCATGGTAAATCTTCGTCTGGAAACCTGCACGGTGTCTCGCTCCCCTTTAGAGCTTCCCGGCGGTCCTGGTCCTGCTGGATGCTCTCAGACCCCCACCTTCTCCTTGCCTCCACATATGCTCCGCTCCAGCCTCCTCATAGCTCTCCAGATAGGAATAAAATTCCTTCTATCTATACCAGGGACTTTGTGCCCATGTCCTCCAATGCCGTGCTTCCAAAGTCTGCCTTGCTCTGACTGCCCGACTCCTCTTCCTTGTTTTTTCCAGACAAAGTCTTATGCACCTCAGACTAACCTCAAATTCAGTAAGTAACCAAGGACGGACTTGGACTTCAGATTCTCCCGCCCCACGTCCTCCAGTGCTGCAAAGCTCCTCCCAGTTTGTGCTTTGCTCTTAGTCGAACCCAGGGCCTCATGCCTGTGTAGAAGGCACTCTGCTGACCGAGCTGCTCCTCCAGTTTTCTCCTCTGCAGTTTGGGCTCCAGGAAGCAGGGCCTTGGCCCTTGTTGATGCTTAGCCTACGCTTCAGCTCACAGCACCTGCTGCATGGCCAGTTGTAGACCACAGTGACTGTTGGCTGCTCCAGCCTGGCACGATGATGCTTCCCAGCACCAGCTGCATCATTGGCGCCTCACCTGGACTTCCCAAAACAGAACAAATGGCAGGCATGTCCTCTTGAGTGCCTGGGATTGGCCCTGGAGTGTCTTACATTGTTCCTGGAAATTAACAGCCACAGACTCAGGAGGAGGACTCTGTCCCATGAGCTGGGGCCCTGGGGAAAGAGAAGAAAAAAGACAAGTAAGATCCCTAGGGGGGCCAGCTCCGGGGCCTTTTCGCTGCCTACGACACACACTTCATTTAGTTTTCACAGTGGAGGGAGACATGGGGTCTTGTGAGCATCGATTCCCTTGCGGGCCAGGCTAAGTGTCAGACAATGCAGGGAGGAACAGCGCACAGAGTGCCTTGGCCCCCGCTGTCAGTCTCACCCAGATTAACAACTTCATCAGAGCCTTTGTTGATATTGACATTTGGTTGCTAGGTAACGTGTTTACTGCCCAGTGAATAGAACTTGAAGGCCAAGGAGGGCACAGTCAACAGATTGGCAAATAAAGCGAACGTGCCATGACTTGATATGCTCATAGTGGTACCCAGGCGTGTAGTGCAGGAGCAGACCCCTCCAGGAGTCTCTGTGAAGTCATTGTCACCTCATGCCCAGGTGAGGAAAAGTCCAGGTAACGTCAGAGCTACTGGCCTCTCGTCAGGAGTATTTGGGTGCCGCTGTACTGTAATGTAAGGGTCCCCACATCACTCAAGTCCCCCCTAACCTCTACTGTCTTCAGGGGTGTGGGGTCCTGGAGAGAAAACACCGTTGCCAGGGGCAGAAGTTTTGTCACCACAGCGTCACTCCTGGGCCTGCAGAGCCTGCACGTGAACATAGCATCTCCCTGACCACATCACTGAGGTGTTCAAAGGAAAGGGAAGGACAGAGTCTGGTTAGCACCCAGCTATGTGTGGGTGCCATCCTGGGTCAACCACTGTGAAGTAGGATGTCATGTTGAGCCCCTGGACAATTACAAGAGCTGAGTCCTTGGAGGTATGTCTACTTTTGTTTTTTTAATCATGACAACCATATAATCCTCTCTCTGTCTCTCTGTCTCTCTCTCTCTCTCTCTCTCACACACACACACACAGGACTCATGATATTTTAACATACAGTTTTTAAAATTTTTTTTATTTAAATTAGAGACAAGCTTGTTTCACATGTCAACCCCAGCTCCTTCTCCCTCCCCTCCTCCTTCCCCCCCCCAGTCCCCCACCCAATCCACACTCCGATCCCCAGGGAGGGTGAGGCCCTCCATAGGGGATCTCCAGAGTCTGTCATTTTGTTGAGGGCAGGGCCTAGGCCCTCCCACAAGAGTCCAGGCTGAGAGAGCCTCCCTCATTGTGGGATGGGCACCCTTTAACATACAGTTTTATGTTGGCTGTTTTTTTACAGTTCACTTCAGGTGCCATCCGCCCTGGTTTTTTTGTTTTGTTTGTTTGTTTGCTTGCTTGTTCTTGTTTGTTTTGCTTTGTTTTGTTTTTTGAGATAGTGTCTCTCATGGGCTTGAAGACCTGAAACTTGTCAGTTGTTCAACTAGAATAGTTGTTCAGTGAGCCCTAGGAATCTGTCCGTCTCTGCCTCCTAGGACCTAGGACTATAACCATGTGTTGCTATGTCCGTTTTTGTTGGTGTTTTGTTTTGTTTTAGGTTAGAATTGGAGTTAGCGCCTTACACATGGTAGGCAAGTGCTATGCCCCAGAGCTATCTCTCAGCCCTAAACATGGCTTTTGCACATGAGTCCTGAGGGATTAAATTCTGGTCCTCAGATCTGCTTTCCCAACCGAGTCATCTCTTTGGCTCTAGGTACTTTTATAGATGTGGGACCAGATGTGATGAGCAGGTGAGATGCCCTCTCATTAGACCTCTGTAGGGGCGCTCCTTCAGGCCTGGACCCAGGAAACCCCAGCTTTGGTGTCTGTTTAGCTCAGAAGCTGGCTAGTTAGGTAACGGGAGCCATCTGGAGGGCCCTCTGCTCTAAACATATGCACTGATTCTAGGCCCCCTGGGGACATCAGCCCCCTCCTTGCTGATGCGGCTGGCCCACACTTCTGACCCTTGTCAAAACCTGCTAGACTGAGCATCCCTGGCACCCCTCTATAGCATTCCTACATCCTTTGCTCTGATCTGAATCCCTGCAACACACTCAGAGCACTAAGTGTTCCAAGCAACTGACATGTATGTGTGACATATGAGGTACACCAGAAGGCCAGAAGTTTTCCTTGTTCCTGATGTAAAGATAACTAGACTGTCTCTACTAAGGGAAATGTCATTTTAATAGCAATTTTTGAACCAAGCAAACAGAAGTCATCACCAAGGGACAGGAAAGCTGTTTGTCCCTAAATGGGACAGATCTTAGAGGAGCTGTGGTCCTGCTGCAACTCAGGGAACATACAGTATGCATACCTCCACTCCTTAGTGCTCACCCATGGCAGACATTGCTAATCGATAGCAGCCCTTTTTCCTACTGAATGTGAGCCCCTCCCTCTTTTGAATAAAACATTTATAACTTTGCTACCAGAGTTGATATTCACTGCACTCATCATCTCACTGAGTTGATTGGCGTTTGAAATTACCTAACTTGCCGGTTCTGAGGTTCTGTGTCCACTGCTGTTCTCCCCACCACAGGGTTCCCTGTGTCTTTTCAAGCCCAATTAGGTCTTCCTGGTGCTGTCTCCTTTCTTTTGGAGACATTTCCTTCTCTACCTCTGTCCTTCCTTCTTCTTCTCCTCCTCCTTTCTCCTGCTCTTTTTTCTTGTTCTTTTCCTTTCCCCATTTCTTGGCTTCTAGAACCATTAACAAGCCCAGAGAAGTGGCAGGCCCCCGTGTGTGTCCCTTATACTATCCAATGCAGCCTCTGGATTGTCTTGGGGATTTTGCAGGATATCTGTAAGTGTTATGGCTCCAATGGGAAATTATTCTGGCACTCGGGAGCCAAGGAATACTAAGTGTTACAGCTCGGATGGAAAAGTGTTCTGGCACTCAGGAGCCAAGGAATACCACAGGTCACAGTAAGTGTAGCAGCTTACAGCCCTGCTCAAAGGAAAGGTTTCCCTAGTGTAACAGCTGTGCTCCAGCAGGAGAAGGCTTTCTCAGGATTCCCTGAAGAAGTTGTTACAGTTAGGCTCCAGTCCCCCAAAGTGTAACAACTCTCTGGGGAAAGTGCTACGGCCCTGCTCTGCTCCTCTCTGCTTTAGCTCCCTCTCTGCTCCAGTGAAAGGTCTTCAGCCAAACATCATTCCAGGGATTTATTGGGAGAGAAGAATCCAGGAGAGTGGCTGCCGTCTACCAGGGTGGAAGAACACAGCCACAAACTGACCAGGCACAGGGTTTATATGGGCTTCTCAGGGATGGAGTTTTCCAGGGAGAAGATTTCTAGGGTGGGGATCGGTCAGAATTCAGTCCCTGAGCTCAGTTTGTCTAGATCTCATGCTCAGGGATTGGTTGGTTTTCTGCTCAGGTTCAGGGTCAGATTTTGGCTCTGGTTTCAGGGTTAAACTGTGTTTCTTTCACTGGTTCCTTTTAGCCATTTGGCTCTAGTTTTAGGGCCAGGGTGTATTTCTTTCACTGACTCTGATTCTAGGGCCAACGTGTGTTTCTTTGGCACTGGTTTTGGGGTCAGGGTGCATTTCTTTGGCTCTGGTTGCAGGGCCAAAGTGTGTTTCTTTGACTTTGCTCAGGGTATGTTTCTTTGGCTGGCCTTTTCCTCACAATATCTTCAGGCTAACAGTCAGAGCATTAAGAGGTACACTTTCTTTAAAAAATATACACAATTTATCTATGTAAGTATTTGTTGTGTATGTTTGTGTTTGTGCCAGGACATGTGCATGTGAGTGGACAATTAGGGTGGTCAGTTCTCTCTCTCCACCCAGGGACCAAGTTCAGGTTATCAGGCTTGGTGACAAACACCTCTGCCAATTGAACTGCCTCATCAGTGTGGAAACGTTCTTCCTGTTTATTTTTTTAATTTTATTTGTATTTTACATGTATGAATGCTTAGACTGTATGCATGTATAAGCATTACATGCATGTCTGGTGCTCTTAGAGCTCAGAAAAGCTTCAGATCCCTTGGAACTGGGTTTATGGATGGTTGTGAGCCACCATGTGAGTCCTAGGGACCAAACCCAGGTTCTCTGTGAGAATAACAAATGCTCTTAACCACTGGGCCATTGCTCCAGGCCTGTTGGATCACTCTTGCTTTACCTTCTGGGGCATTAATTTGATAGAAACTTCTTTACTGCTCATGTGTGTGTTCTTCTCTTTAACCAGTCTGAATCCTCTTAGAGGGCAGGAGAGTGGAGGGAAGGGAGTTTGCAGTTGTTAGGAGGCAAGCTTGCATATTTTATTTCTTCCTTATAGCAAATGTCCTGGATGCAGTTTCTTCCCCTACAGAGCAGAGGCTCCTACAGAGGGAGTGGCATTTGTGGAGGTGGCTGAGCTGAGACATTGCCTCAGCCTGTCAACAGCTACCTGCCATCTTTGCCATTCTGCAGGCTGCTTCCCAGCTGTGGTAGTCTGAAAGGAAAGGCTCCCAAAGGGAGTGCCACTATTAGGAGGTGTGGCCTTGTTGGAGCAGGAATGGCATTGTTGGAGGAAGTGTGTCACTGTGGGGCCAGGCTTTGAGGTTTCTTTTGCTCAAGCTTCATTCAGTGTGATAATCAGTCTACTTCCTGTTGCTTTTATATCAAGATACAGCCTGTAACATGTCTGCTGGCATGCCACCATGATCCCTACCATGATGATAATGGAGTGAACCTCTGAAACTATAAGCGAACAGCCCCAATTAAATGTTTTCTTTGTAAGAGTTGCCACAGTCATGGTGTCTCTTCACAGTAATAGAAACTCTAACAAAGACACCAGCCTCACTCACTGTTTTGTCAGGACTTCAAGTCTTAGAGTTTTCTAAAGAGAGGAAGATTTTCTTTTCAATTTGATTTTTAAATTATTTATTTATTATTCATTCACTTATCTTTATTTATATTTCTGGGACAGGCTTTCATTACCTATAGCCCAGGCTACCCTTGAATGTTGAAATCCTACTGCTTCTGCCTCCCAAATGTTAAGATTACAGATATGTGCTACTATGTTAAGTAAGAACTTTCATTTTCTTTTTCTTTAACCCCCTGGCACTCCCGTATGTGTGGGCTCTCTTTCTGACTCTACCTATGTGTGTGTGTGAGAGAGGAAGAGACAGAGACAGGGACAGAGACAGAGAGAAGGTATATACAAATAGATCTCTCTCCGTGTGTGTGTGTGTGTGTGTGTGTGTGTGTGTGTGTGTGCGCGTGCGTGTGTGTAATCTCTGTGTGTATATGTCTGTGCTCGAACACGTGTACCATGGCATGTTTGCAAGTCAAAGGATAGTTGGGTATCTGCCTTCACTTCCCACCTCATTTTGAATCAGGATTTCTTGCCATCCCAACTTCATATACCAGGCTAGCTGGCCTGTGAGCTTCTGGGCATTCTACTAATCCTGTCTCTTGTCTCATTGTAGGGATGTTGGGGTCACAGATGTGTGTTACCACAAGCTGCTTTTATGTGGAATCTGAGGATTCAAACTTGGATCTTTATTCTTTCATGACAAACACTATCCAGTCAACCATCTCCCTAGCCCAGGAATTTTGATTTTGGTGAAATCTAGTTTACCAACTTATTTCTTCATATGGTATGCTTTTGTCTTGTAACTGAGAAAATTTTGTTTCATCTAAATAATTTATGAGCTTAGCTTTTATATTCATATCTACGATCTGTTTTTAATTTTTTTATACTCAACACAGTAAATTGCTCATATGTCTGGGGTGAAAGATGATGTTTTGAAATTGGATACACTATGTAATTCAGAGCCGGGCACTATGGTAGCTGGCAGATCCATCCTCTGCAGTAGTCATCATTCTTTGTGAGAACTTTAAAAAAGATAGTATCTCTTATTTATTCTTTGGCAATTTCATACATGTAAACAATGTGTCTTGATCATATCTACTCCAGCTCCCCTC